TAGGAATCCGGACTAGATTTGAAGAAAGGTGGTCGCTCCCATAAAAGCATCCGGGAATTATAGCCTTATAATATAAAGCTTAAAAATATCGGGCTAGATAAAGGTATTTTCAGTCACTGCTTATGAAATTCTCCATACAAAGAGTATCATGTAGTCCGTTAAGGATAAAGTCGATACATTTTGTGCAGCTTCCATGGCGACCACGCTATTAAAGGATTGCACACAAGTTATGATGTGAATCAAATAACAATAGAAAATGAGCTAAAGTAGCCCTAATACTGAGATATATCTTCATTAGGGACTTGCACAGCGGACGAATACGTCTACATGCACACATAAATAAATATATTTATATTTATATATATATATATGTATAAGATATTTATATAGATAAAAAATAAGATTATGGTCAAACTAAAATGGAAAGCGGAGACGGGTATGAAGTCAGTTAATTATGAGGATGGATTGAGTCAGATAAGGGATTTGATGGGCTTATATTGAAAAGCATCCGCTTCAAACAAGGTGGGGTAATAAATATTGAAGATCACTGAGAAAAGTGTTGAAGCACTGGAAAAGGAGCCAATACGAGCCAGTAATCGATGGCAAGGGCAGAAAAAGCATACTCCAGGCGAGAAGATGCAAGAGGTGCACTAACACTAATTAAACATACACAATCAATTTATATTGGGAGGGGCACGCGTGAGTACACCAAAACCCAAAATAGGAGGGATATTCATAAATAGGGCATAGACCGCGTATGACGATAAATAAACGAGAACGATACAAGATGAAACGAATAAGAAGTGCATTGGCCCTAAGAGTCTATATGTTTCAAATTAATTAGGCCGCAAGTGGCATTCAAATGGTCCTTAGGCGGACAAGAGAAACGAGTCAAGGAAAAAGACTATGTAGCGTTGGTGAAGTGAAGAATTTTGCTTAAAAATAAAGTCATAAGGTAAAAATTTGCCAAAATGAAGGAAAAAAACTTTCAATAAAGTTATGGAGAAAGTGATTGCGGAAGAGAATGAGATGGATTATGGGGGATATATTTAGTATCAAGAAATTGGTCGTCTGTTCTCTTTGTTCACTCCTGTCGAATAAACAATACCTGAGGGTCGAGACACGGTCAAGCCTGTGATAGGAGAAAAGCTGTCTGTTTTAGTGAGACTAGGCAAAATTGTATTTCCATTGAATGAGCACTGCTTGGCCGGTCTGGGCGCAGAGTAGCGTGTGTTAGGGGTACCATTAGCGGCAAATATAGTGGTTGCTGGAAAGCGACGGTTAGAATTTGTCCCAGAATTGAATCGCTCAACTATAGCCTTTTTGTTCATCGGCTTGTATAAATGATTTTCGGGTTTGACGACCAAGCGGCCCATCTCACTAAACGCTTTTCCTTCAATCTGCATCACTTCGCTCTCAATGTCCTTAACCTTGTTTTCTACATCTTCAGTAACGTCCTCTGTTTCGCTTTCATCCTCTTCCTTTATCTCACTTTCAAGTTCAGCCCCGACTTCTTTTTCTTCTGGTTTAAGTTGACGAATTCCAAGAGCGATTTGATTAAGGAGTGAAGCAGAGTCGATTGGAGAATTTGCTCTAATTGTAGCTGAGCAGCCTGCTGACTTAAGAGAATGTTGGTTATTCCGATAAAAGCGACCGCGTATCCTGGGATGGTCGATAAGAAACGCACGAGCCTGTTGCAGAAACTGACGGCGACGTCGCCCCAGACCAAAGCACACTTGTCGCCAATTGGCCTAGCGTGAAATAAGGAGAGATTCAGATCATAGAAATATAAGCGAAGAACGAATAAATGGCAAAATTAGAATAAAAAGAAATATTCGAAGATTATCACTTGCGTTGATGCATGCACCCTACCCTAGCAGAATTACGGAAAAGTTATAGATGCAGCCATTATAATCCATTAAAATATGAAATCTAACTATTTCTGACGACCCAACATATTCAAGCATTATATTACCCTTATCACCTTTACAAGTAAAGATGAACAATGGACTAAAAAACAATATGAGATTATAAAATCAAAGCGAGCTAAAAAATTTTCACCGTTAATCATATCATCGTTTTTTAAAGAATAATTTCCATACCACTTCCTGTACAATCATTACTGTGTGTTCTCCCAGCATCAAGCAAGACTTTTAATCGACATATTCCGTGAAAGCACTAAACAATTTTAAAAGTTAATTTGTAGCTTGATGCTAAGAATGGCGCAAACATTGGGGATGCATACTAGCTGGCAAAACGTCTGAGAACTTACCATCAGCGGGCCGATCATGAAAAAGCTGATACAACAATGATGGCGGACACAGTAAAGATGAGTTCATCAAACTAAGATACACACTTTTTGACAATCACAAAATCCTATATATAGCGATATTAGATTGATCTTCATATTTAAATATAGTTACATTCGCTAGAAGCTAAACTTAATCTTCATAAAATTGAATCACATCAGCGTCGATGAACATTGGTATAGGCGTTAAATAACCATTTAGTAAAAAGCTAAGATGCCTATAGAAAAATTGGCATTAATAAACAGTAACCAATATTATTTCTTCAGTATTTAATATAAACAAAAAAGGCAGGGAGGTTCAATGAGTAAACTTTATGGAAAATGTGGTCTAATATTGTCATTCTGGGTTTTTAATAATAGAGAAATCAATAGGTATCGAAGAAAAGTATATTTAAGTATGCAAAATAGCTGCTATACTGATGAATAAAATAATGACCAGTGGCCAGAACGACAAAACATCCTTTTACACAACTCAAGCATAATGGAGATGAAGCAGTAAAAATAATGTGTCGATACTGGAGAACTCACATCTCTCCCAACTTGAATCACTCGACGGGCCGATAGATGTGGCTGAGCTCTAGGGGGGAAGGAGAGCACAGGCATCGATTTAAGAATGGCTGGTACCATAGGAGCGCCAGGAAGGCCAAAAATCAATGGATTGGTCAACACATCGGCCGATAGCCAGGAGAAGCGACTACCACTACGTATCTTCAAAAGAGAAAGTGAGAAAATTAGAATATTTAATGTTTCCGATGAAATATACTTTGATTTCAAATCATAATAAATCTTATACAAATAATGGGGAAAAAGCAAACTTATCTCATAAATCGGATTTTTGATCCAACATATTATACAAGACCGAGATAAAATTAATTCTGACCTAATAATAAGTTAAATAATATAATTTATCCTCCAAGTTTTAAAAGAGAATTTAGAGGTTGTTTGACCTTCTTTTCACAACTTGCTCATACTGGTAGGAAGACTTAGAGAAACGCACCTAGTCCGAATCCATTGTATGCATGATCATTTCCAAAGTCGGACCGTGGACGTGATAGATTCCCAGACGTTTTGCCGGCATCGTCAGTGAGTCTCACCATTCTTAGCACCACAAAACAACTCGTCAAAGAGACAAGTGAAACCGATTCTTTGACCAAATGTGTGCTAAACACTTGTGGTATCTCCTCTTCTCCCCTGGGCTATTCACATTTCCTATATCCTCCTATCACGCCTTCATTGTTACAGTTTTCCCGGGTTTATTTCGACGTAGTGTGGCATGCTCCCTTGAGCGGCATTTATGAAAACCCTTCACACTCCACAATGTCGTTTTCACCCCTTCACCCTTGTGTTGGAAATTTTGATCAGAGTCTGCCATATTGTTACGCAGTCCTTCTTCCATAGGTCTTATCACAGTCTCTCTCTTTCCCCGTAAGATCCGTCTGTTCTCTCCCTGGTTCATGTATTTCACTCGACCCCTGCTACCCCATCTGTGCTACTCGAGGCCTTATTCGCCCTTCCCTGCGTCTGGGTGACTAATTCGAGGCTCAAGCCTATGAGTAAGTCTCATCA